ACATTCCCGCTTTTCCCCCATGCCACCCCCCTACACCATAGACCGCTTTTCGCAGCGCGAAACTTTCTTCGCCTTTGCAGGAACCTCAGGTCCATTGCTGGCCATGGGCGGACCTGGGGTGCCGCGAAAAAAGTTTCGCGTGCGAAGAGCGGAAAATTCGCTTTTTGTCCTAGTGAACCACACCCTAATTGGAGTAGACCCGAAGTTGTTTTTAACATCTACATGAGAGTAACTAAACTGGATTCAACCATGGAATAATGGCAGCCCCTTTTTCCTGAGAGGAAGCACTGTGGTGCATAAAACATTCCTGTACGCTTTCACACCCACCCATTAGCCTCCTTCCCCTGCAAATCAAGATTACTGCCGGCGGCACGAACTGCTGTACTCCAAGCCCTCCTCCTTTAGTGCATAGACCAAAAACGGAGATTTCTCGCAACTCCGACAGTCCTCGTAGGCCGTCTTTGTCTCAATGCTGAAGTTCCTCGGCAGGGCGCAAGGATGTGATGGTTACGAAACGGACGGTCGAATGCTGCTTCTACACACACAATGGTATGGTTGCTGATATACAGTTCCGCTATACTCACCTTTCTGCATCCATAGTGGGGTACTAGGATTGAGCTTCAACCCGGTACCACTGCTACCACAACCCAAAAAAAACCGGCGTCAATAAAAGTACAATACACACCGTCTCGAATTGCCTGCCAGGTTCGTGGAAAAGTTGCTAGTGTAGGCTTTCTACAAATAGTGCTATGAAATACTGCACATCGAGTGCGGCTAAAAAAGGATAAAGATAGAACATTTGGCGATGATGCTCTTTGTCGAGATGCGCCGGGCACTCTATTCCCATTCAAAATCACGGTGGCCTTCCTGAAGGAGTGGACATGAACTGAATGGCGCGTAATCAGATGCACGCTCTGAACTAACGATGAGGGCGATCGTACGTTAAAGCGAGAGATTACGATAAAGTGTGTGTGCAAGCATGGAAGTACATGCACCAGTGGAAGCAGTAGTCAGGGGCCTAAGGAAGCGAGATGTGGCCTTTTCGTGGCCAAAGGCGCGCTAGTTCAGCGCCCTGGGCTGCCAATCCTCCCTGAGCTCCTGCCTATTATAGTGTTGATGGCAAACTCGGCGGAGTCATTGTAGGTTGAATATTGCGATGGGTGATATGTTTCACTTGGAGGAATTATTCGATAATTTTTCCAGTGGGAAGTGACGTCATCAGTCAATGCGCCCATGATGTATCATTTCTGAAGATACGCTACTCTGTTATGACATGTGCAACGAGTGCTTTCCCAGGTTTGCGTTGGCGGCTCGGTCCAGTGATCGGAGTCGACCGGGCAAGAAAAAAGCTCTCATTTTGCCGTTCTTAACATTCGCCTTCTATTTTATTGCGCCCACGTGTAGTATTATTCAGCTCTTTCTATTTTCATATAAATCAGCCATAACTCAACGCCGTAATCTCTCGCCTCTGAAGCTAAGTCAACACGGCGGGCAATCATTATGCTTTACATTTTGTACTAATGAGTGAGAAGAATGGCTTGAGCTATCAATCAAGAAATCGAATGTGTCGCTTCACTAAAATAATCCCTCGGGAAGCACCCATTATAATATTACTGTTGATCAAGTGCCAATTTAATTGGTTCATCTTTCGATGACCTCATCCGTGTGCATGGCCGTAGGGCAGATCGTGTAGAGTAAATGTCCCCGATTGGTGACTGCTTGCGGTGTTCTTGCGCGATTTCGAGTGTTATACTGCGCGTTTGAAGAATTTCGGATTATTGGTTGTTTTAATTCGTCTAACTGTCGCGGTGTTCTTTTTTGTAGTGGGTGATAGCTATATCACTGTGGAGGCGGAAATGAGTAATTAATTACCGGCGGAGCAAGTACTGGCGAAAAAAACTCCGTCGAGCCCCACCCTCTTCTGATTCCAGAGGGGGAGTCTTCGTTTGAGGGCTTCATCGGCGGTCTCTGTTTCTTTTTTGATTTTCAATCAACTCGGCATCCCAATTACATTTTCGTCCACTTTTGCCCCACCAAATCCATCTGGGGATGTTGCTTTAAAAACCACCCTACGCCCGTGTTGATTGCGTACTCCGTAGTCCCACGCCTCGCTACTGTCGTTGGCGCCTCATTCCGAATTGAGTGACTCTTGGCCGGACTCCTCATGAAAGAAGTAGGTTGAACTGACTCATATCTAGGGTGAAACTTTAATTCACTATTGAGATGTCTGCAGTGAGAGATCTCTGGTACATCAATTTAAACAATTATCCTAGCCTATTTGCTATAATTCACTTTTTTGTTTATTTTTCCTTCACGAAACTCGGGTCACCTGAGAAACCACCTGGAGATCCCCTGTGATAGGAGCATGGGCAGAGAAGTGCAAAATATACACTTTTCGCCCCACTCACAGTAAGTGGCAGGGATCATATGCGCCGAAACGGGCGGTTACAAAAACTTCTTATTCGGTTCCCAAACAGCCTAAAAAATTGGATGAGGTGGATTCAGGGTTGTGAGGTCATATTCAGGAAGCTCAACTGTAGTGATCTCTGCAGCGCTTGCTAAAGAATTCATAACTCGATCGCAAGGCCGTCCACGGAACAGCGGAAAACTTGCTGCAAAAGAGCAGTGTCCTAGAAGTATCAAGCGCACTTCGAGTGAGCGGAGGCCGGCCTACAAGGGGTCTCCTCCACTAGGAGCGTTCTTTATAAGTCATCGAGGAGGCCAGGAGAGAGAAAAATGTGTTGAGGCTGGCAAGAGAGCGTAGGTCTATCGTTAATTTTGTGCGGGCGTGCACGGAATTAGGCGCAGCTTCTCACCTAGCTTACAACTCGGTTCAGAAAGGGTTAGACAGGGAAAAGTGTGTAGATGCTGGCTGGAAAGGAATCGTGTGCTAATAGTGGGTAGAGCATGTGCCGAAATGGGCGTGGGGTTCTCAGGAATTTGATCCGGTTTGGAAAGGCCCAGAGAATGCGAAAGTGCTCGCGAAAAAGTAACCATTGTGTGGCAGTGGCGGGCCGAGCGAGCGCTGAAGTGAGCGGGGGTTTTTTTACGAATCCCATAAGTCGGTTCAGAGTGAGCTTCGAAAAAAGTGGGTGTTGGTGAAAGAGGAGAGATCAAGTGACAATGGAGGGCGGAACGTACGATCGAATGAACTGTGCCCAAACTCAAGTTCAGTGAACCACTTTCTAGACGATGCGGAGACCGGGAATATGGCAGAGGTCAGCGAATGAAAGCGAGTCAGAAGAAGCAAACGGCGGGCAGAGCTGAATTCGAGGATCTCGGTCGCCGCGATCCATGTCGCTTGAAAGGTCGGTATGCGCGTTACAGTGTGCGGCGCCAAGCTGTTTTAGCAAAAGTGAGCCAAAAGCCATGAGTACGACTGCTCGAAACGGTTTTGAATGCTTTAGAAGAGCTATGCCATTGATGGCGTATAGGTAACCAGTTGGCGCCGCACGCTGTTGCGCGCACAACACGTTTCTGTGGCGACATGGGACGGTGCGACAAAAATACACAGATTCAGCCCGACACACCACCAATATCTCACCTGCTCTTTTAGGCTGAATTCTATCCGCTTTCTTCTCGGTCTCTGTGCTCTCCGGACCATACTGCAACTTTGGTTTTGAGTTCCGCTCACCACGCATGCCCTGTCCACCCATGTCTTGTGAACTTCCCTCTTTGTCAACCATCCGCTTTTCCCCCGTCTTTGGACTGTCTTCGAACTCAATTATGAAGTTTTGTGGGAAACCCCTCCCACGTTGGCGCATGCTTCGCCCACCACCAGCAGATGACCTCCTTCCCTTCGCCGTCCTCCATGTACATTTTTTCCGTCCTCCGGACCTTTTTTCAACAGAATTATGAGTTGGTAGCAAACTTTGCCCACTTTGATACACGCCACAGACACAACGATATTATGTTTAACTTCCCCCGAATTGTGAGGAATTGTAACTTCAGCACAGGCGTTTCGCTCATTGTGGGTGAGCCTCCACTCACACCATGTATGCTGGGAAGACCTTAAACATTGCTTCCCTACTCCAATTTTTTTCTGCTCTATAGGTCATCTCCCAGCCGAGTTAAGGTTTTTTTCGTCAAGCATCACTTTTTTGTAGAACGCCCTGCTAACCGTTGGTGGGTCTTCCTAGTTGAACTGGCTTATCAGTGCACACGTTGACCGATCATCCCCTGTCTCTAGGCTGCTTTTGAGTCAATTTGCAATTTCCGCGGTCATTGCCGCTGCCGCACACAACC